CAAAAAAAAGAAGAAAAAAAAGCAACATTAAGTTGCTCCACGCCTGGGCACGGTTCTGGACACAACAGACCGTCAGTGTCCGAAGTCTTTTATCTGCTGCTGTCCATTAGCCGACTTTCGAAAATTAAGAGAGCGAATTAATGTGTCTCAGCGGGCAGGGATAGGGAACTAGATAGAATGACACAGAATAGCAGAAATTAAATATTTTCTTGAAAATGCTTCATGTGGACATCTGACATGAAGTTCTAACGTTTCAGATTACGTTTTCATGGTCTAATGGTTCGTCTTTACCACTTTCCTACAGGATTGAATCCACCCCTGGCATATACTGGAACACGAACGAAGAAGGTTGACCACCCCATTGCTGAAACTGAACCTTCGCCCCTAAAAGGACACAGGATCTTTCTGCGTTTGACTGGTTGCTTTGCTTCCCTGTGTATATATGCTGTACAAATTTTGTAAATACTTTTGTGTAAGCTTGTACTACGATCACTTTAAACGAAGTTCAAAAATTCCTAGGGAATTGGTAAGGCCACAGCAAGTAGATTTTCTGGATGACATCTTCCGCAGACTCAAAATCTAATGCAAAAAGGCGAAAAAAAACAAGGCGGGCCAAAAAAAAAAGATTCCTACATTTTCAAACAAGAAATGATACCTATATTGTGCTAAGTTTACTGCCAACTATTACAATATGTATTTTTCACTGAAACAGCTTTGAAAAATAAAGGTTTCAATCATTGTACAAATGGTTTTCATTCAGTATAGTAACATTAGGCTACACCAAGTAAATTTTATGGATGACGTCCGCGCGCGCATTGATTTTGGCCTGTTCCTAGAAAAAAAAACAAGAAATTCCGCTTCCTGTAACTATGACCAAAGAGTCACGACAGTGCCGCAAATCGTCAGATTGATGTGAAACCCGTAACGCCGAAAGCCTGTGCCTGGTTAAAAATAAAAACAAAAATGAAAAAAACAAAAAACAAAGTGGCACTGAAAAAAATCCTGTCAATACATGTAGTTCCAAAACAGTGCCGTTTTTGGAACTATTAACAGACAGGACGGTCCTGTCAGCAGTGCAATATTTCTTGTTTTTTAGGGCCCTTCTTGTTTTTTTTCGCCCTCTCGCATTAGATTTAGGGTCTCCAAAGGACGTCATCCATAAAATTTACTTGGTGTGGCCTTATATATACACATCCATCATCACATATAAAAGACAAAACAGTATATCAGAGCCCTGTATTGTCTCTTTCCTTCATACTTATCTGTCATCCACGTTCTGGCATGGTAACAGACCTTTGCCCATTTCCATCATGTTGACCACTGCCAGAGGGCATCAATATTTCTTTTTTTTTCCAAAATCAGGCGAAAATCAATGCGCGCGCTGATGTCATCCATAAAAATTACTTGCTGTGGCCTAACCTTCGGCCATGTGGCTTTTGGACCAAGCAGGCGAGGCCTTTGTTGCTTTGCATGCGAAAGACACCATTTTGGGAAAGTTGTGACTTTTTGCACACCAAAAATTACTGACTGCTTTTATTGATGTTTCAAATATGTTTTTTTTCTCTATCAGGACGACAAAAACTATACAACTTTTTGTTGCTTATATAAAGATATAACTAGGAGCGGTAATTTCAAGTACGATGTTTCACATATTTTTTTTTTCACGGACTTAGTTTTATGACTTAGTTTTTATGTGTTGTATATGTTGGTGTTTTGAATCTGTATGTTCTGTTGTGACCGCATTTTTGTTATGTACATGTAAGGTCAATACAGTTCAATAGTCCATAGTTTTTGTACTGATGCAATGTTGACCATTGTTTGAGTTAAGAATAAGAAGGGATGGCGAATATTACCTCACCTATCGAAAATGTACACAACCAGTTCTGTAAAAATGATCTTGGTGTTTTTAGAAACAATAGCAATGTCGCATGTAGAGTAGAATATAGCTATTTGTATTTATGTATTTAATATCTGGTTACGCCTTGTCCAAATGGATACAACCTCACACCCCCTTTAAAGGGAGGCAATCCTCTTACAGCAAAGCCTTCCGACAAATAGCCGCAGACGAACTTTATTGCAACATGCTAAAGACATATTAGATCACAATGGATACTCATTATGGGTTCACCACACCACGAAGTGGTGTGGTGAAACCATATTGCTTTTTCTGATGTTTCTTCTTCTTCTCCTCCTCCTTCTCCTCCTGCCATTTTTTAAATGGATTCAGCTTCTTCATTTTAGGGCCTAAGGTCCTGAAATTTGGTATGGAGGTACAGTGGGCAAATACCCCTAGGCGTTTTTTAAATTATTGTGATACAGGCTTTTAGAATGGTTTTATTTGAGTTTTTTGGCTGTATTATAGCAAATGTATTACTGTGTTAGTGTACCGTGTTTACCACGTCTGGGCATGAGTCATCACAATGGAATGCAGGGCATCAACCAATAGGCATGCAGCTTTCCTCTATACTTCTTGCTGATTGGCTGTTGGGATTTAACTTGATTAACACAAGCACAGAGCATTTCCACCTGCACAGAGCATTTCTTGCTGATTGGCAGTTGGGATTTAACTTGATTAACACCTGCACAGAGATTTCCATACTGACAGTATGTCTTTATTCAAGTGTTTTGGTAGGTATTTCAAGCTTTTCTGCTCCAGCATTGGAATGCGGGGCATGAACGTTTTTTTATTTATTTTGAAAATCAACAGTTTGCATTATGCAATTAAAAATCCTAACCAATAAAGTAGGAAATAGCTATCCAACTGTTGTTTTAGTTGTATGTTACTTCATATTATAGTTATATCAATGTAAATCATTGTTTTCCCTTGTGTTTCTCATTCTTTCCCTGCCATGACGTCGTAAAATGTGGTGAACCCATCGCTGTATTTGCTCCAAAGCAAATATTGGCCTTTCTAGTTTTTGTGGCATTCCGATAACACTGTGACCATGAACATGTATGCATATACAAACATTTTTCAATACATTGTCAACCGATAGTGGTAAGCTAAAATTTTACGCAAAATGCCATGTACATTATAGAGCGATATCTTTATCTTGCAGATTTCGAACTACGCTCAGCCATTAGCAAAATTAGAGTTAGCGCCCATCCTCTGTAAATAGAAAGAGGCCGGTATAGAAGACTACCTGTTTGTGAAAGAATTTGTAAATATTGTAGTGCAAAGGCTGTGGAAGACGAAATACACTAAAACTGTTCGTTAGGCCACACCAAGTAAATTTTATGGATGACGTCCTTTGGAGACCCTAAATCTAATGCGAGAGGGCGAAAAAAAAACAAGAAGGGTCCAAAAAAAACAAGATGCCTAGATTAGAAATATACTAAGAGACGACAAATGTTAGGACACAAATTGAATGAGGTGACACAGTGTAACAAGTAAGAAGTCTTTTATTCAACATCAAACAGCAATAAATCAGATGGAACAGCAGTTGTCGTCCTGTCCTGTTTCTTTCACATTTTTGCAGGCCTGCAGGAACAAAGCATAAAAGGCCAAATTAGTTGCTGATTAACCCTTTGCATGCATTACTACATTTCTACCTGTGCAAAATAGTCTATAGGAGCGTAGATAATTAATAAAATAAAAGGATGTGGACTATTGTTCTAGCTTAAACAGTATTGAACAGAGTGTCAAAGGTACATGTATGTACATGTATAGTACAAAGGTACACATGGACCCACCTGACACTGTTCTCTCACTAGTCTCAGTTGTCATCTTCTTCTGTCTCCTCCCTTCTCCTCTTCATCTTCCTCTTCCCTCTTGTTCTCTCAGTCACCCCAAGGCTCTGGCACACCTACAGAATAACACAACAGGAGTAATGAATTTACAGGAGTAATGAATTATCATTCTTATAGATTGTGTTCTTAG